CTATCTATGATCTTATTTAGATATACAGACCAGATCTCTGAGGAGCTCGGTGGAGCCCTCCTCGGCAACAGGCCACGCCCCCAGGAAGCCCCAGATACTTTTAACTATATCTAAATCCACAACCAGACCTGTCATCAAGAGCCAAGCTCAGGAGCCTGAATTGGCCCCATTCACCCAATGAAACCTGCTTACTAAAAGTACCATAAACCTTGCACAAGGGGGGAAAAAATACAATGCAAGTAAACAATTTAAAAAATGATACAAGTGGAATTATTATTAGGAATAAAATATAACAGAGAAAATGACATGTATGAAAATATAAAGTTGGGTTTCCTAAAATGCCACCCTGAGAACCCATCAGAGAAAGTAAATAAGTAAGGGCAATAACGGAAAGGAGGAAAGATGAGTAGGGAAAGGAAGAAAGGATAAAGCAGAGGAAGTAAGGGAGGGGAATTAAGAGTAGGAGGGAGGGGAAGAGGGAGAAGAGGAGGAGGAGGGGAGGAAAGAGAAGAAGAAGGAGGGAGGAAAGAGAGGAGGAAAGAAGGAGGCAGAGAAGGGAGGTAGAGAAGATAGGAGCAAGGTTGTTGCAAAATAAAATGGGGTAGCAAGAAAGTGACCCAAACTGTATTCTATTTATTTGTAAGAAAATAATGATTAATGATAATGATATAATTAATAGTAATTATAAGAGTGTATATTTGTGAATGAACTTGAAAATAAAATAAACTTTTTTTAAAAAAATAAAAATTAAAAATAAATAATGCACAACATTTGCCCAATAAATTAAGGTTAAGCTTACCACCACCATCAAGGTTAAGAACACTCCTACAAACAACCCCACACCAGGTTGAAGATCCATCCAGGCAGGGTAAGCAAGTTTGTGAATGCAACTGCAGGCAACTTAGTTAAGGAGGCTGTGGAAATAAAGCCACTGTGTGCCTATGTGTATGTGTATGTATGATTGTATAGCAGCCGAGGTTGTCCAGCCTCCAGGATGTGGTTCTTTTCAGACCCAAAATTTAGGAGCAAACAAGATGTGGAGACTCTAGTCTAGAAAAAGTGCAAAGAAGAGCACCCAAGAGGATTAGGGGACTGGAAGCTCATACATGAAGAACAGTTGCAGGAACTGGCTATGTCTGGTTGAATAAAAAGAAGGACTTAAGGGTGATATGATAGCAG